ACTGACCCACAGTGAGGGGCAGGAGTTGGGAAAAAGGGGGAAGAGATCGGGAAGGAGAGGACGGAGGAGATGGGAAAGGGGGGCAGGAAACAGGGAAGGGGGCGGATGTGGGAGATGGGGAAGGAAGGGATGCAGGAGATGGGAGGGGGGCCGGGGGCTCAGGAGCTGGGAATGGAGGTGGGAAGGGGGACAAGAGCTGAGGAGGAGGATCCAGAGCCGGGGAAGGGGGGGGGGGGAGATGCAGGAGCTTGGAAGGGGGATGCGGGAGATGGGAAGGGGGGAATGCGGGATGCGGGGCCGCTCACCCGAAGAGCCCCCGCAGGAAGGAGTGCGAGCCCTTGACGCGCTTCTCGGCCTCCGCCATGAGCTGCACGGCCTCCCGCTCCTTGCCGGCGCTGTCCATCGCTCCCGCTTTTCCTGCTCTCCTTCCTCCTCCTCCTCCTCCTCCGCCGCGGCACCGGGAGCGCGCCGGGCGCGTGCGCGGGGCGGGGCGCGCGCAGGATGCGGGATGCGGCGGGATCCGGCCGGGATCGGGGATGAGAGGCTCCTCCCTCTGGCTATTCCCGAAGCGGGATTCCTTCGGGAGATAACTCAAAAGACGGATGTGGGAATGGGAGCGGGATCCCAGCTGGAGGTGGGATCTGTGGCAGCAGATCAGTCCTTATCCTGAAGGTTATTTATGTCACTCTCCGAGTGTCCAGGGAATTACCTCGCCTGTAAACTCAGATTCCCGGGAGGGAGGCTACACTTTCCTGGGAATATTCCACAGTAAGGATGATCAGGAGAAGGGTCACCTGTGTCCTGACCTCGTTACATGAGCGCACATTTGAGTTGTTCAAAAACGCTCCTGTAAGGAGTGAGCCCTGTACGGGGAAAACTGGGATGGAAATTCCTCCCTGATCCCTCCGCTGCGCACCCGGGCCGAGGGAATCCCATAACCCGAACCCGCCGAACTACAACTCCCGACGTGCCCCGCGGCCGGCGCGTGGGGTGACGTCATCACCCGGCGCCCGTTGTCACCATGGCGACGCTGGCGCATCCCGGCGTCGCTCCCATGGGAACGTCCCGCATGGCGTCCCGGGAACGGCGGGAACTGAGCAGGAAAGACCTCGCGCTCCCCCCGGCCCCGCTGTCCCGAATCCCTCCCTGTGAGGGAATGCCGGCTCTGCAGTGCCGGGAACAGCCTGAGATGATCCCCCGGGAAAGGAAATCCCGGCTCCGGTGTCCCAGGAATTCCAGGTGAGTGACCTGGTTTCAGGGCTGGGCGAAATTAAAGTCGGGAGCGTTTCCCAAGGCAGGAACGGCCATCCTCATCCAAGCTCGCCGGGAAACTGTTCCACACTGGATCCCAATTAACCGCAGGGGTTTTTCCCTTTTCCAGGCAGGACGACATGCAACCTTTTTCTCTCTCTGAGCTCGGGCTCCCATCAGAAAACAAAGCTATCCAGGGAATTCTCTGCCCCATGGCTGTGGAGCTCTGCCACCTCCTCCTCGCCCTGCAACGGGAAGATGGGATTTGTCCGGCCTTTCCCACTTTGGGGGAAAAGGCAGGAAAATTAGCCAAAGCTATGGAAGAATTCGCTGCTGTGGCAAGGAGGTGAGGTGGATGGGAGTCTCCCGGGTGGATTTTGGGCTGGGAAGTGATGGAAAAGGTTGCAGGGAGCTTGCATCCTCCTGGAGAGGCAGGATTGGGAGTGAGGAATAGAGCTGAGCCCAGTCCTTCCATTCCAGGCTGTCTGAGGATTCCGGTGAGGAAGGGAGCACAGAGGCGTGTCCCGTGGGTGAATCCCTGCTCCAGGCTGCGAGGGACGTGGTGCTGGCAGCATTCCAGCTCCAGCAGCATCCAGACAGCCCTCGGCACCGAGAGCTCCTGGCTGCGGCCGCCAGGAGGAGTCTGATGGAGACAGCAAAGGTGAGGGGACACCGGGAAGGGGCACGAGCAGCGGGAAGCTCCAGCAGATCCATGGAGCACACCATTCCTCGTCCCCCTCCAGGGATGGAACGGGAATGGGAATTCCTGACCTGAGCGGCTTTTCTGCCTTGTTCCCTGGTTAGATCCTTCAGCTGGAAGAGGCTGCAGGGATGAGGAGGATCAGTGGCGCTGCCAGCTGGCTCCTGGAATGCCTGAGCGTGCTGCGGGATGCCCGGGACACTCCAGGGCTGCTGGCTGCATTCCAGCCCTTCTCTGAGGCCGTGCTCCTGCTGAGCCGCCTGACAGCCCAGCGCCTCCAGGAACTCCGGGACTGTCCTGCAGGGAAGAGCTTGGCCCAGACCCTGCAGCTTCTCCACAAGTGCGTCCCACTCATCCACACAGCCCTGACACGTTCCAGGGACAGCCAAGCTGACCTCTCCCAGGATTCTGTATTCCAGCTGACGGAGAGGACCATCAGGGAGCTCCTCTCCCTGCTCAGGGAGCCCCAGGATAGGAGTGGGATCTTCTCCCAGCAGCTGAGCAGGCTCCAGGCTCTCCTCTCCCACCCTGACCCCCTGCGCCTCTCCAAGGGCGGGTTCAGCTCCCACTTGGACGCGGTCATTCTCCATGGAATGCTGCTGACAGAGTCATCCAGGCTGGATCTGCAGCTGGAGCTGGTGGAACGTTGCTGGGCCCTGCTGCAGCTGAGGAGGAGCATCTGCAGCCACATGAGCCAGAGGGAGGGCCAGGGAGAACACGGCCTGGAGCAGGAATGTCACAGCTTGAGGGAGGAGCTGGGAAACCTGGACCAGGCAGCGCTCAGGGCCACACTGTGCCAAATCCTGGATGGATTCTTCCAGGAGAAGGAGCCCCTGAGGCAGCTGGTTGAAGGTGCCCTTAGCCTCGCCCATTCAGGATGCTGTCCAGCAGGAGCAGGAGGAATTTTAAGGAAGCTCCAGCCCCTCATTGCCGCCTTCTTCGCTCAGGCCCAGCAGATGCTCCGAGCGGCCGATCTGCTCCTGGCCAGGTGTGCCAAGGCCCAAACTGCTAGGGAAATCCAGGAGGGCATGGAGCACCTGCGGAGCCTCCTGGCCAGCCTCCCTTCCCTGCTCATGGAAACAAGTGGGAACATCATGGAGCAGCTCCAGGCCCTGAGCTGTGCCTGGGCCAGAGCCACCAACAGCCTCCTGCGCTGCTTTGAGGAGACCATCGGCATGAAGGAATTCCTTGAGTTATCCATCCTGGAGCTGGCCAAGCAACAGGAATGGTGTGAAGCAGCACTGGAACGCTGGGATCCCGAGGGATTCTCCTGGCACAGCGCTCGCCTCATGGGCTGGGCCCGCTGGGTGGTGGGAGCCTCCACCCGGCACGTGGACAGTACCACGGATCCCATCTTCAGGAATGGTTTGCTGGTGTGGGTGGAGCAATTGGCCAAATCCATCCTGGAGCTGGGAGCAGTCACAGCCCTCATTCCAGGAAGGTTTTCCTGCCTCCAAAGCCAGGGTGCTTTTTCCCAGGCAGCCAGCTCCCTGCTGGACTCTGCTCTCCGTGTCCAGGCCGGGCTGGACGGGTCCAACCACACAGAGATCCTCAGCCCGCTCCGGGAGCAGGTGCGGAGCACCAGGGTGGAAAAGGGGCTGGAGCTCAGCCCATCCCACACTGGGACACAAACCAGTACAGATGAGGCAGCATTCCAAGGAAATATCCAAAGTCATCCATCTTCACCACCAGCTAACCCCCACCTGGATCCATGGAAAGGGGTTACACACCCTGTCATCACAGCTCTCCTGAGAGCATCCCAGGCTGGTGACATGGACACTGTCCGTGCTGCCTGCTCCATCCTGCTGGAGCTCTCTGAAGGATATGTGGAAGCAGCACGGGAAGCACTGCCTGTGGCTGAACCCCCCCAGCTGCAGGTGCTGGAGCAGCACTGGGATATCAAAGCACTTACCCCAAGGATCATCAGCCTGGCCACGGAAACCGCCCCTGGGCAGCTCCCTGCTCCAGGCAGGCTTCTCCAAATGGCACTCAGCCTCTCGGGAAGGATCCAGGAGACTCGGGAGTGCCTGGCAGCTGTGGCGGGCTCTTGGAATGGTCTGGCCCAGCAAGTGCTTGGATTTATCCTGTCAGGTGACTTTCCAAGAGGGAAGCAGGCTTTGGATGAGACCCTGCTGGGTTTAGCAGGAGCAGTGCAGGTGGCAGGAGACATTGCAAGCACAGCCTGCAGTAGGGAAAATCCCAATCCCTCTCATGTCCAGGAGAGCTTTCTGCAGCTCCAAGCCAAGTTTTCCCGTGCTCAGCTGAACACCAAAGTGTTCCTGGAGAGGGCAGTGTCCTTCAGGGAATCCTGTGGGATGGAAAAGGCCATGCTGGAGCTGCACGGTGTCCGGTGGGCCATTGGCATGTGTGTCCTGCTGGATGCCATGGATCAGTTAGTGGGCAGGGATGTCCTGTTCCTGAGGGAGCTGAGCAGAGCCGTGAGGAGCAAGGTTGGCCCACGGAGCCTCCTGGCTGCTGTGGCTGAGAATTCCCTCAGGTTGCAGGAGGCTGCCCGGCTCTCCTTCCTATCCTGCCCTGGAGACCATGGTGCCAGAGACATCCTGGCGCTCCGGGAGGAGATCCAGGTGCTCATGGAAGCGCTGCTGGATGTGTCCAACACCCTCCTGCTCTCCCCACTGCCTACCGCCAGCCTGGCCACCCGCTTCGAGCTCCTGCAGAGGGACGTGGCCCTCAAGGCCAAGGCATTGCTGCTCCACATGGAAAGGGTCAACAAGGAACAGCTGCAGCTGATCCAAGACGTGGTTGGAGCAGCTCTGTCCGACCTGCCCCAAGAGGAGAGGCAGAGGAGCAAAGAAGGTTTTGAGGAGAAGGCAAATCAGCTCCTGGCTGATGTCCAGAGGGTCAGAAACACCCTCCAGGGTGCTCTGGGGGCCAGTGCTCAACTTACATCCCAGCCTGACCTCCTATCCATGGCTGACCACCTCCTGCTCCTCACGGCTGACATGGTGGGGAGCGCCCGGCGGCACTTCCAGAGCCACCAGGACCCTGGGGATCCCTGCCAGGACCCTGGGGATCCCCACCTGGAAGGCATGGTGTGGTACTGGTCAGCCAAGGCTCACTACCTTGTCACTCAGCTCTGGGTTATCCATGGAATTGACAGGGACATCCTGCGGTGCCTCACAGAATGCCTGCAGCAGGAATGCTCCCCAGGATCACCCAGCAGCACAGCTGGACTCTCCCCAGCCCCAGAGCCCCCTGAGGCAGCAGGAATTCATCCATGCAGGAGCAGAGGAGCGAGTGGAGCCGTGCGGGAAGTGCGTGAACTGGTACAGGAGCTCTTTTCCCTGGCAGGGTGTTGGTCAGGGCTGTCCGTCATTCCTGGTGCTCCCAGCACGGAGCAGGAATGTGAGGATGCTGGCAGGGCCTCTGGAGGTCAGCAGGCTGACCCTGGGCCACTCAGGCAGCTCAGGTTGCTGGCAGCCCTGGATTCCTGGATATCCGATCGGCCAGGCTCTCCTACATCCATCCCAATCCATTTCAGAGGCAGAGAAGCTGTAGCTCTCCCTCACCTCCACACATTCCCTCTAGGAATACCAGCAACTCCATTCCTATGGGTGTCAGGAGCTGGGAAAGGCTTTGGCACAGATCCAGGTCCCTCAGCAAAGTGCTTTAGAGCACTCATTGTGCTGGGAATTCATTGCAAACTGTCAGCTTGCAGGACACCCCATTCCCATTTTGAGATGGCTCCAAGGGCTTTGGATTTAGGGAGAAGGGCTGGTGGGAAGGTGGAGTGGACCCAGAAGGGGTTGGGCAGCTCTCCCACCAACTTTACTCACCAAAATCTCCTTCAGAAACATCCAGGTGGAGGAGAGCACTCGGCATCGCTGTGTCCACGCATTCCAGGTCTGGAATCTGCTCCATTACTGCCCCGGCAGCACCAGGATGGCCCTTCCAGCACCTCCCCTGCAAAGCAGGAGAGAGCAAACTGTGACAAGGGGCAGGGTGGCCCCAGCAGGGTGTCCCAGGTGACCCAGGACATGGCCACGAGGAGGCTCCACATGGCTCAGTTCCTGCGCAGGAAGGGCCCCATTGCGGTAAGGCAGCGTTTCATCCCTCTAGCTTTCCCTTAGGATCATGGCAACTCCATCCCAAATCCCTGTGTCACCCAGCTCCTGGGACAGTGCCACCAGCTCTATTTATGCAAAATACTCCAAATTCCTTCCTTCTGGTTGGATGTGAGCTTGGCACCCTGTCCTTTCCTCAGGATGTATCTGAGCCTCCTGGACCTTCCCTGTTCTGCAGGAAAAGCTTTTTTTCCTTCTCTCCCCAATGCCATTGATTTTTATCCCGTTCCAGAGCAAGGAGCAGTTTGTTGCCTGTGCCAGGCAAATGGTTTCCGATGGGCAGGTGGTTGTTAAGTTTGGGAACATCCTCGCCAAGCACTGCCTGGACCAGAGATGCTCCATGGAGCTGCTCCGTGCCACTGAGCACACCCAATCCATCAGCAGCCAGCTCGGCATCGTGGCCAGGTGAGCTGCCAGCAGCTGAGATCACCTCTCCAAGGTGATCCAAGAGGGATCCCTTCTCCAAGGAATGTGGGTGGTGGTGCCCAGAGGTCCAAGGGGCGGTGGGTGTTGTCCAAGAGTTGAGGAACAATTTGGAGGCCTCCCTTCTCTCCATGGGTTTCCCTGGGGACAAGCTGGGTTTGGGATAACAACACTGTCAGGATGTCCAATGCCCTCCCAATAAAATCCTTTGGAATGTTTTTGAAGGGTGAAAGCAGTGACTGGGGAGAGCAGGGCCTCCTCTGAGCTGCTGCTCAGCAACGTGCAGAACCTCCTTCAAGCAGTGCAGCACGTCCTGAGGGCGGCCGAGGCGGCGTGTGTCAAAGTGAGTCCATCATGGAACCTGTCCTGGAATTACTTGGGTGGGAAGGGTTGCTCCAAGCCCCATCCAACTTGGCTTTGAGCAGTTCCAGGGATGAGGCAGCCACAGCTTCTCTGTGCCAAAGCCAGGGCAATTCCATGCTGTGGAAGTTTCTCATCCAGGTCTTTATATGGGAGCTGGGATCTGGCTGCTGTGGGACTCCAGCTGGAGCAGATATTCCTCATGGAATACTTTCATTCATCCCAGGCATTGACTGTCCTTGAAGTCACCTTTACCTGGTCCATTTCCCACTTAATTTTTGGATCATAGAGCACCTTTATTTGGAATTAGTCCATGCCATCCTCTTTATTCCCAAAAGCCAAATTCCCAGGAGTTTCTCATGCAGCTGCCATCAACAGCCACCTGATCTGACTGTAAAGTCCATGGGAGTAGATTTTCCCTGAAAACAACTGGAAAACAAGTGCAAACAGCACCAGCCTCTCCCTGAGGCAGCATTTCCATCTGAATCCCATCCTCCTCTATAATCCTACTGCTTTTCCTGGGATCAGCATCTCTTTTTGAAGGAAACACAGATTTTTTAGAATCCCATTTGCCGAACAATCAGCCCCAAGGGTGACAAAGCTCCTCCTGTGCTTAATTAAACTTAGCACTTCTTCTATTTGCCCATTTTTCACTGTGCTGATGCTAAATTAATAAATTCATTAATTTTGACTATCTAGACCCCAAAGCCCTTATGACCTGGAAATTTCCCTTTGGAAAATTCCCTGCTTATCAACAAACTGCCCTCCTTTCCTCTCCCTGTAAGAAGCTTTTGAAGCATTCTGAAGCATTTTGAAGCATTAAGAGGTAGTGATGCCTTGTGGATCATGCACACATTGGCACATCCAGACTTTTCCATAATTTAGGATGCACAGGGATATATTAAACTAATTCCTTCATCCAACAGGGTTTGGGACAACCCCCAGCAGACCCTGAAGAAGAAGAAGTTGCTGCTTTCTGCCAGCAGTGGAGGAAAAACCTGACACAGCACAGAGCAAAGGAGGCTTTAAATTCCGACCGGGATGAATTAGGGCTCCGGAAAACTCGAGGGGCAAAGGCTGAGCCCACCCTGATATCTCTGGTGCAAGAGCAACCCCTACGGAGCAGGAATATCCCAAAGCATCCCAGTCCTAGGAAAGGACACACAGTTATGGACAGGCATCTGTAAATCCAGAGGGGCTGCTTGCCCCAGTGCTGTTGGAAGCAGAGGAGGAATTCTTTGCAGTGTGCAGGATTCATGTTGGAGTTTTTCGTTGTGGCAGGAAAATCTTGGAACAGGCTCTGTGGGGAGGCCAGGAATCTTCTGGTGAGTGTTTTACCCCCAGGTGGTGAGCTGGGATGGACGGGGCTCTGGAGAATCCTGATCCAGTGGGAGGTGTTGGAGGTATCCCTGCCCATAGCAGGGGGTGGAATGGGATGAGTTTAAGGTCCCTTCCCACCCAAACTATTCCAGGATTCTGTGATCCAGAGATGCTCAGGCTTTGTGCCATCTTTCAGCCTTTCCTCCTTCACATATCCAGGGGTACAGCAGTGGGGAGCGTTTTGTCTCACCTGCTGCCCCTGAGCCTGCAGATTTCTTCCCAAAATCCCACTCAGCCCCAGGATTCTCTCCTATCCAGAGAAAATTTCAGTCCCCAAGATCACCTACCTCACAGCTTCCGGAGTATCCCAGACTGGTGACACTGCTGCTCCTGTGTCCTGGCTCTCCACATCCATCCTTCCAGTCTCAGGATCACCAGTTGTCCCATGGAAACACTGCTCCATGCTGGAATCCTGCAGGAAAGGTGGAAGGGAGCCTCCCCTGTGGAATACACAATCCAACACCACAGCAGATCACAACTGGCTCCATGGTGGCTGCAGCCCATTCCAGCCCACCTTGGTGTCCCACCTGCATCCCAACCACCTTCCCCAGCCCAGGAATTCCATTATGTGTGTGGCAGCAAGGAATCTCCATATTCCAAGAAAAAGCAGCAGCAGGCACAGTGCACACTCTGGGAAGCAATCTGCAAGGAATAAAGCAGAGGAGGGAAGGAGGGAGGGAGGCAGGAAGGAAACACACATGGAGACAACAGGCTGTGAGAACTCACAGGCCTTTGTATCCATGTCGTATTTCTACACTATTTTTCCCTGCTTGGTTTTTTGAGGAAAACCTTGACCAGCCACACCAGTGAGTAGAAGAAATAACAGACTACTAATAAAGGACTAATGGGTTACTCCAAAGTAACAACCCAGTTCTGTGTCTATTCTCTACTTTTGCTACACAAAAAAAATTAATAAAATTAATGCAATTCATGCTCTGGCAAATCAGGAAGGCAAAGTGAACCTGCAAATGCCTTCGGAGATGCTTCTTCTGCTGTGCAGGAATCACAGGCTTCCCTTGGCTCATCCATGCAAGGCAAAACCTCAGAATTTGGGATAAACACTCTGCTGTCCCAGTGGAAACACCACTTGGCCAACAAACAAGAGGAAAAGGTCCATGACCATCACTTGGTCAAGGGAAAAACAAGAGGAAAAAGTCCACCAAGGAAGAGACTTAAAGCAGAGAAAGCTTCCAAAGGGGTGGGAAGCAGATGATTGATTGAGAGGCTGGCACATTTTTGTTGGAAAAGCAGCTGCCTAGGAATGACTGCATTTCCTCTGGAGAAAAAGCAGCCCCAAAGGCTGGAGGATGCAAAACCTGGGGAATTCATGACATGCAGGATGTTCCATGATGGAAAATGGCAATTCTCTCCATGAGACCTGGGGATCAGGTACAAGGTTATGTTAAAACCCCACACACCATCCCAAAAATCCCAGCTTTACTCCCCTCCTCCCATCTGTCACTGTATGCACACGGAGTCATCACCAGGAATTAACTGTACCCTTTTTAATTGTTTTGTTAAAAATGTCGTCGAGACACCATGAATACAAGTACTGCAGTTACAGCCATACAAAAAAAGCAATACAAATTAAGCAGCTGAATACAAAAATACGTTGAAATACATGAACACCACAATGGAACTCGGAGCACTAAATCCCAATCGTGTAGGCGTGGAAAAAAATTAAATAAAAACCTTTTTTTTCGTATTAGACAATGTAGTTTTCTCCACTTCGAACAGTTACTTTTGCTAGTTATGTACTTCACAATTTCTTCTATGTACAGCATAGAATAAAATACTTTTAAAAGATATGACATTTTTCATCCTCAATATGTGATATAGTCTCTTTTACACTAATATTGACTGCAGGAATAAAAACTGTCCGTGTCTTACATCAATTCATTGGAAAAGGAGGAGCGACGCTTTCCTTTGAAATCATTTCCGTGAGGTTTTCCATCAGTTCAGGGGTTTGGCAGTCCTGGAACGGCATCTCTCCCGGGAATTCATGTACATAATATTGCTTGGATCTATACAAATGTGGCAATCGGATCTAAGTGGTGGTTGGGAAAGAGGCAGCTCACACATATACAGCTCTGGGAATTTTCCATGACTTATTTACAATGAAAGTGCTTTTCTCAGCTCTAACACGATCCGGGGGGATTGGTTTCCTTTCTACAGGTCAATTATTAGTCTCCCTGAAATTGGAAAGAAAAAGGATTCTCTAGAAAATACCACAGCTTTGCAAACACTCGAGCGTACTGGAGAACTGCGTGTGGTTCGGAGATTAGCAGCTGAAAAGTGGTGGGAATTATAATTTAAAAATAAATAAAGCCAAAAGAGGTAACCCAGGTACAAAACAGCAGAGAACTGCAATACCCACAACGGTAAAAAGACTCCAAAGCCGTCTGCTAACAAAACGGGGAAGCGGTTGGATCGAAAGTCTTGAAAACATCTTTCAAGGATTTATCATCTGACTCCCCGTTGGGATCGCTCTCCGGGGCCTGCGTTACCTGTCCGGGCTGCCTCACCTGCCTGGGGTCGCTGTACTGTGGCCGGATTAACCCCGACAGAGCCTGGATTGGGAGATTATGGACGGCAGGGGCAGCGCTGGAGTGTTTAGCCTGAGATTTACTGGTGCTGTTGGCCTTGTCTGGAGCAGCTTCCGCTGATCCTTCCGTGGGTTTTTCCGTGTTGGAGGCAGCCTTCTGCTGGGACGCATCTTCCGCGAGACTCGGCTCATTTTTACTGGAATTTTTCAAAATGCTTTTTTTCTGGTTCTCTCCGTTCTCTCCCGAACTGGCTGGAGCCGTGTCCGAGGATGAGCTGTGATCCCTGGGATCATACAAACTGATCCCGCTCAGGATGGAGCCGGGAGTTCCCAGCCTAACACCACTGGATGATAATTTGGGCGCATAGGGAGGCAGAGCATCGGGGTCGGATTTTGGAGTCGTGGCTTCTGAGGGCTGGGATGAGCTGGCAGCAGCTCTGGCGAGCCGGGGGTCAAACTTGGGAGGGTGGGAATCCTTCCCGGCTCCGTGGTGAGCGTCTGCACTCGACAGTCTGTGGAGTCTGGGATCAACGTTCTTTTGCAAGCGAGGATCCCCCAGTTTGCTGGAGCTACTGGCATGGGAATCTGTGGATGGATCCAAGTAGCCACCCCGGCCCACGAGGCTGTTTTTGGCCTTGGCAGCGAGCCGGGGATCAGCTGGCATCGCGTTGGGGTGTGGATCGTTCTTCAGATTCCGCAGTTTATTCAGTCTCTGGTCAGCAATGAGTGGAGGGAGAGGTAAATTGATGGAAGAGACGGGGTCGGGTTTAGGCAGAGGGATTGGGAGCAAGTCCTCGGGGGCCCACACAATGTGCTTGGCAAAGTTGGGTTTCATCAGGGTCACATCCATCTTAATGTGGCTGAACTGCCGCAACTGGGAGCGGGGATCCCGCAACGTGACGCCCGGCAGAGGCTCCAAGGGAATGAGGAAAGCTCGTTCCCTCAGCTCCCTCTCCGAGTCCTCCTCGTCATCATCCAGCCCTTTCTGCTTGACCTTCACTCCGGCGTGGGCGT